AGGAGCGAGCAGCGCCACCTCCTCTGCGCTCCTCTGCCCAGCCTGTCTGCCGCTCCGAGCGCCGGGACCTCCGCTGCTCCAGAGCCGGACTCACTGCGTCGGTGTGTGTGTGTGTGTGTGTGTGTGTGTGTTATTAAGAGAGAGTGTGAGAGTGTGTGTGCGCGCGCGCGCACTGACCCTGCAGAGCTGAAACTGATCACACACAGCTGATCGATCACAGAGGAGCATCGATCCTTCGCGCGCGCTCTCACAAGTACAACCCGCCGCTCTGTGTGCGCGTGTATGTGTATGTGCGCGTGTGTGGGTGAGTGAGTGTGTACGTGTGTTCGTGTGATCCCTCCGCTCTAAACTAAGCTGATCGGACAGTTCGGTATTGATCGGTCTTGATCGGTACTGATCGGCAGATGGAGGTTTCTCTCGGACTCTCCTTCTCCGTCTTTAGGAGGACTTGACGGGCTCGTGCGGACTCCAGAACCAGCATGGTGGGTTTATCCAGAAGAGGAGAGTCCGGCAGCAGAGGGGACTAAAGTTCCCGGTTCCCCGCTCGGGTCTGGGTCGGTCCTTTTTCTGCTGCAGCTCCGCAGAACCTCCCAGCAGGCTCTCCAGACCTGATCCGGCCTCACAGAGACCCGTCAGAGACCCGTGAGTGGAGGGTCAATAAATACTGACAGATCCAGGAACAGATCCAGATCCCTGACAGGATCCTCAGACAGACTCTGACACTCAGACCTGCTGCTGGATCAGCTGATGGACTTTGATGCACCTCATGTCGGATCAGAACCTGGATCATCACAGAGGACTTGTTAGGACAGGAGGATCCCCGTCTGCCCCCCCACATCAGACTCCTCTGGACCTTAATGTCCAATCACACACGAGTGTGTGTGTGTGTGTGTGTGTGTGTGTGTGTGTGTGTGTGTGCAGCACTAAATCTACAGACACGGACTGGAGGCCCGTGTGGACCAGAACACGGGTGCAAAGTTAGTCCTGAACCGGTTCTCTGTAAAATCCTCGTTACTCTAAATGATGAAGATGAAGATGAGGATGAGGATGAGGATGAAGATGAAGATGAGGATGAGGATGACTCCGGCTGTTCTTGTGGTTTGGTTTCTGTCTAAAGTGTCCAATCAGGAGCTCAGACTCACATCTGTTTGTTTGTTTGTTTGTTTGTTTTTATTTTTTTTCCTTTAAATTATAAATAAAATAAAAAAAAATCAGTTTTTTTTTTTTTTTAATTCTTTGAATTTTTGATTCGAAGTTGATCAGGATCCTCATGTGTTCATCACTCAGGGGGGAATGAAGGTGTTAACAGCAGCAGTACAAACAACACACACAACACACACACAACACACACACATTCATACTCCCTAAAGTGGGTCAAACACGGATCAGTACTACAGACCAGTCTTTAGAGGTCCGGTCTAAACAGGTCTCAGGTCTAAGTCTCACGGTCCTGATTGATCTGATCTGATGTTCGGTCGGTTTTAGTTCCGACACACAGAGTCAAGTTAGTCCTGATCCTGGTCTGGGTCTGTGCTCACATACAGAACCCACACAAGGACCAGGTCCAGAGGGGTCTGCAGCTCTGAGACCGAACCCGAGTCCACGTCCAACCTCTGAGTCTATAGCTGAGAGACCCGAGTCTGAGGGACAGTGAACAGCGCCCCCTAGGTAAGAGCCTGACAGAGAGAAGGAGCTGCTGAACCCGGACCATGAAAGATCTGAACAAGGTCTGCAGAGACTCAGAGGAGAACCACTGGACCAGAACCAGAACCTGACACACACACACACACACACACACTCCAGCTGCTGCATCAATAAATAAAAACAGAACCTTCATGGAGAACTGAGACAACGGATCAGAACCGTGCAGCAGCTGAGATATGATGATGACCTTTGACCTCTCACATTTGTAGGTAATTAGAGGTCCTAATTAAAGAAACCATGACGTCAGGAGCTCAGAGTGATCAGCTGAGGGTGATTGGAATATTAGAGGAGGAGATAATCAATAAAGTCCTCATGATCAATACAGAGAAGTGATCAGGTCCACTTGATCATCACTCTCAGAACTCCGTCAGAACTCTGATCTCCACCTTTAACCAGAACTCACTCACCGCCTCAAAGCACGGAGCAGCCAATCAAGAGACAGTACGTCACAGATACGCTCTCACCGCGCTGTGATTTGACAGGAGAGGGGGATTCGAATGACTGATCAGTTCTGATTGGACGATCAATTAAAGTGACAGAAACGCGTCCAGAGCCCCCCCACTAAAAATCTGAATATAGTAAATAAGACCGTTCACAATCACGGAGCAGTGAGGGGAGTTAGTTCTGCTTAAATCAGAGGAAAACCCTCTGAGGTTTGGTGAGGGACCCCAGCTGACAGAGTTCAGGGGGTAAAGTTAAAGGTTTTTTTCTGGGTGTTCGTCAGTGAAGGAGAATGTAAAGAGTTCAAATAAAGAAGAGGAGACTTTAAAGACTTAAAATTAAGTTTGATTCGTTTTTAAAACTCACCATTGAAGACTTTTCACAGCTCAGGGAGGAAACTGTCCGGCTGCAGAGACCTCCGTCTGAATGTTCAAAACCACCAATAAAACCACCAAAGAGTCCCCGAGAAGCTTCCGGATCCACATCAGAAGAGATCCAGACTGCAGGCTCAGTTCGGCTCAGTTCGGCTCAGTTCGGCTCCTCTCTCTGAATTCGACTCGACTCGGCTCGGTTCGGCTGTCACTCGCTCAGAAGTTGTTTCAGTTCACTCTCCTCCTGTTGGTTTGTTTGTTTGTTTGTTTGTTTATTTGTTTGTTTGTGTCCTCGCGCCTCTTCCCTCCTCCTCCATGTTCTAAAGAACTCTGTCCGGCTCGGTTCGGTCTGGTCCGGTCCTGCTCGGTGAGAGTGTCGGAGGGAGAGTGTGCTCGGTGCCGCTCAGCCGGACCGGAGGCTCGGTTCACCGGCTGCTGCTGCTGATCTCTGTCCGCCCCACATGACTCCTGTCCCCGCGTGGACTTGTGATCGGAGCTGCGCTGTGGTGACCGCGCACGTGAGCGTGAAGGGGGGGTGGGGGGGTCTCTGCAGGACCGGGGGACCGGTGAACACCTGAACTCCGTATGTGTCACCTGAGAAACGATCCGGGGTCTGAGGCGGGAATCCGGATCAGACCAACTTTCATTTTCAGGATAGAAAAAAATCACATTTTCCAGAATCAGTCAATCCGAACAAAAGAGAGAGTCCACCAGTCCTCAGAGCAGGACTCTGGGTCCACCTGGGTCCAGAATGAAGACCACATTCATGCTAAAGGTTCAGACTGTAAGGAGGATTTCAGAAACCCCCAAACCTCAGACTCAGACCTGCTGGACTAACTGAGTTTATTCAACTTCAACAAGTTTATATTGTTACCATCATCATCATCATCACCATCATATTTATTATTATAATAATTATTATACATTTTTTAATTATTATTATTGTTGTTATTATTTTGATTTTTTTTCTTACCACTACTTTTGTTCTTTTAATTCAGTCTCTGTTTCTTTTTTTGTATCTCTTACACTGAAAACGGAGAAGCTCTCCGACCTTCTTCTACCTTCAGTTTGATGACAATAAAGAACATTTTGATTCTGAAAAGACAGGAGGGCCTGTTTCCTGTGGGTCATAATAATTATAATAATAATAATAATAATAATAATAATAAAAATAATAATAATGATAACAATTATAATGATAATAATAATTATCATAATAATAACAATAATAATAATAACAATAATAATAATAATAATAATAATAATAATAATAATAATAATAATAATGACAATAATAATAATGATAACCAGTATAATGATAATAATAATAATAATAATAATAATAATGATAATAATAATAATGATGATGATGATGATAATAATAATAATAATAATAATAATAATAATAACAATAATAATAATAATAATAATAATGATAATAAAAATGATCAGAGTTCTAAAATCATCGACTTTCATTGACTTCAGCTCTGAGTTTTGTCATCACATGTTGATTCATGTTGAAGAGGAACTACGGTGGCCCAGAGTGGACATATTTGATTCAAACATCAGGTGGTCACATCTTCAGAGATTTCAAACCCGGACCGAAGCTCAGGACAGGACCACAGAACCCAGACTGACACACACCAGAGACACGTAAAGTACACGGAGATGCTGACCACGATCTCGCGTCAGCTGGTCACGTAAAAAGAGTGAGAAACCTGAACGGACCGAACCAAATGTAGACTGTGTAACAAGAACACGGGCCATGGTCCAGGTGCAGACCGGACTTGAAAACAGCCCCAGACTTGGTTTGATGGAGTCTCTCGTTAATCTCTGGATCATAATCAGGGTCCTGATGAAGCTGCTGTCTGATAAACTGAAGTGAGGACGACTCAGGTGTTAAACCAGCAGACCACACCTGAGTCTGGGTGTCTGCTATAGACTGTCTCTAGAATCACAGCTGACAGGTGAGGAGGAGCTTCAGCTCGTCTGAACTAACTCTCAGCAGGTTTAAAGATCTCCATCTGACTCGGCTTTCTTCTTCACGTCTGTGTTTCATAAACCAGGACCTGGATTTTCACGTCGTTCAGATCCTCCTCCTCTTCAGTCTGGTGAAGATGAGTTTGTGCTGGTGGATCTTTAAAGCCTCGTGTGTGTGTGTGTGTGTGTGTGTGTGTGCGTGCGTGTGTGTGTGCAGCACCTGTTAGTCAGACTCTCTCTCTAAATAAACGCCTCAGTCCGGCGCCGACCTCAGCTGATCTCCTCTTCTTCTGCAGGTTTTGGTGGTCCAGCCGCAGCGCTGCGAGTCGTCTGAGGTTAATGAACAGAAGCTTTTATGTTAATAGAAGGACGGCCGGCGTGATTTAACAAGACAATCTGCAGATTTACTTCAGCGCTCAAACACAACCTCAGGCTGCGGCGGCTAAACAACCAAGGTCACCGCAAAGAGAGGAGATTCGATTACGGCAATTAAAGCAGCTTTCAATACCATCAATAACCCTGATCCAGGGAACCAGGAGTTAGTCAGAGCCCGGCGTGTTCACCGTGAGAGGGACCGGTCTGAGTGAACTCAGGTGAGAACAGGTGAAAACAAGAGAAAACAGGCGGAAATCAGGTTAAAAAAACGGATGAAAACAGGCGGAAATCAGGTGAAATCAGGTGAAAGAGCGGTGAAAGAAAAGTGAAAGAAAAGGTGAAAGCCGGTAAAAACAGGTGAAACGTGTAAAATCAAGTGAAAACAGGTTAAAAAAGGGTGAAAAAAGGTGAAAATGGGTCAAATCAGGTAAAAACAGATCTAGAACAGGTGAAATCAGGTGAGACGGGGTGAGACGGGTCCATCCGAACACTCGGCTGTGATTTCACTCCGATTGAAACAGAAACAGGATCAATCGGACATTTCAGGTTTCGGAGTTTTCCTCCTGAAATCGTCTTAAACTGACCGTCTGTTTAATGAGACCGTCTCTCAGCGTCTTGTTGTTTTACTGTTTTTATGTTCAGCTCTCTGACAGTTCAATAAGGATCCGTTAAAAAACAGCATCATGTTTTAAAGTCCTGAAAGTCCACAGACCCACCGATCTAAACATGAGGGCAGGTTCTGCTCAGAACTGTGAGGATGTTTGTGGATCCTGACCTTTCAAAACTCATTCAGTCCAAAGTTTAAAGAAACTTTTCTCCACTTTGTTCGATAAATTCTGATTTTGTTGGTGATCACAGAGGAATCTGAACTCTGATCTAAAAAAACAACCTCTATAACGACAGGTGAGGGTGAAAAAGTGAAGCCAAAATGAAGCTGACTTTATCTCTGTGTTTTTTTTTCCCTTTTCTCAAATTTAATTCAGTTTGAATCTGAATTTCTGCAGACGTGAAGCTGCTCTAACCGAGATGTTGTCTGACTGTCCTGAGGATTAAACCTGGGTCTAAATATTAAACTGAGTTTTAGTAAAATGACTGTTTTAATACCTCTGTGTGTGTGTGTGTGTGTGTGTGTGAGACTTTAAAGTGTTGGTTAATTAGTCTGAGCTCAGCAGCTGATCAGAAAAGAAGCCTGAGGCGCCATCTAGAGGCCACAGGCTGACACTACAGCACAGAGCGTGTATGAGTGTGTGTGTGTGTGTGTGTGCGTGAGGAGAGGAGCGTCTGTGGAGTGTGTGACACTGATGACGGCAGAGACATAGAAAAACGTGTTTTAAAGTGGATTTATCATGTTTGTTCTATAATCTGCTCGTCCAATAAAAACACGTTCGTTTGTGTCGACAAACTGATTTTGTAAAAACATGAACATGAAAAAAAAATTAAAAATAAACCTGAGGGAGTTTAAAAGGGTAACCTCACATAAAATGAGAAAATGTACCTTAACAGACAAAATAAGATTGAATTTGATATTTTCATTATGGTCGTATAATTTTAAAATATTATAAGTGAAGCCACGTTAGAGTCCGACAGGTAAAAATGACCTTAAATGTCATAAAAATAAATGTGATAAAACCTGAAATTTACTAACTTACAAAAAGCTCTTATGTGTTGGACTCAGCATCATTATTACATTATTGATCAGTTCTTACATTTTGGCTTTATTACATTTATTTTTTTTAAATGACATATCAGACTCTAACAAGCCAAAAATAAAATGTTGAATTAAATGGAAAATATCTGAATGAAAACAGTAAAAATGAACTAAAACATCACAGCAGGAACATCTGATGCTTTTTCTACATGAGTTTATAACCAATAATAAAAATATACAAACATTCATTTTTTAAATATTTAATTTGAATTTTCAGAATCAAAAATCATTTTTATTCCCCTCGGAGAGCGAGGAGGTGATTTCTAACAACGTGACATTTATAACCCGCTAAATCACACACGACCTTATTTGGAGAGACAGACGGACTTTTCGCCTGGCTACAGGTGACATCACACTGAGGCCGAAAAACTCTCTATCTCTGTGACGACCGAGTTCACCCCAAAGAGTTCAGAACTTTAGTCACATGACAGAGTCCTCACAAGTGTAGAAACGTGTGTCTGTATGTGTGTGTGTGTGAGGGCAGGTCCTTCACTTTGTGAATAAACAAACAGCACTGCCATGAGTGTGTGTGTGTGTGTGTCCTCGCTGTAACACACACACACACACACCTGCTCTCTCTCCTCTTCACACGCCCGCTCTAACTCTCCTTCAGGTCCATCAACAGTTTGAAACTCTGAGTCCGATCAGACCCTCGCCATCAGCATCCCATCATAGAAGTGGTTACCATGACAACACTGGAAACTGGTACATCACCTCCCCCATACACAAACACACACACACACTCTTTCTCACACACACACACACACTTCTGTAAAAGCGTTGAAACAGGACGTACAGGTGAGTGTAAAATCGTAGATTTTTTGACTGAGGTTTGGTTCAGAGCTTCTTCACTTCTTCACTCACTCCTGAACCTCCTCTGCTGAAATCTTCATCATATTTCCATCAGCTGTTTTTTCTGTT